CCCCCCCCCTGAATTTAAAGCTGGATCCGCCCCTGACTGTGAAGTTTGAAAGTAATGGGCAAAGTTTTTTGAGAAAAAATAATTCTTATGCATCTGGTCGCATTAAAGTGCAAAAATTTCGCCTTTCTGAGGAATATCGCTGTTTTTTCTGGTTTAAACGTGGTGAAATCCACAAATAAATGTCGATTTGCATTGATTTAGTTTGTTCCCTAGGAATGAGACTTCGCACCAAATCTAGAAGGATTACGAAAGTCCCAGTCCAGAACTTTACGGTAGACCATCCCTGTATATTCTTCCTGAAGTGCGTTGAAAAAAATGATTTTTCGAATATTCTGTTCCTGGGCAGAATGGCTAGTGTCGATGTTTTCAACCGCTAAGCTCTACAAAAATGTGAATTTTAGTTATTATTGCTGCGCTTTTTTACGTATTCCATATCAGCTTTGTGTAGATGGCCAATAAACTGTTGCATTTCAAACTGATGTTTTCATAATCTCGCGAACCTATAATTTTTGGGGGCTTTTTCCAACCGAGGCAACATTAAGCGGATTTTGTGATAAATTTACGCGAAATTCCCAAAACACGGACTTAAATTGCTACATTTAAACACAACTTTTCTACTTTTACTACATTTTCCTACTGGAACAATGCGCTTTAATAAAACACTTTTTATGCATCTGGCATCATTAACGTGCACACTTTTCGAGTTTCTGATGCAGATCGCCATTTATTTCCGGTTTAAAGCCTGCGAAATCAGCAAATAAATGCCGATTTACATTGGTTTAATTGTTTTCCCTAGAAATCAAACTTTGCACCCACTCTGGACCACGAGTTTATAGAGTCGGGAACTTTTCGGTAGACTCTTTCTGTATATTCTTCTGTTAAAGTCGATTTTTCGAATATTTTGTTCCTGTGCAAATTGGCTACTGCCGATCTTTTCAGTCGCTAAACTCTGCAAAAATGTTAATTTCAGTTATAGTTAGTGTGCTTTTTTACGTAGATATACCATATCAGCTATGTGTAGAAGACTATGTGTTTCACGAGTCCTTTTCGGGGTAGCTTTTCCCCCTGAAGCAACCTTAAACGTATATGATAAGGCTTATGTAAACTAGTGAGTTTTTGCTGAAAGACCAAGTTTAATATTTAACTCTACCCTATTAGGAATGTTTAAACTGTGAATGTTAGATAGTTTTGCTTACGTTTTAGTTCTTCATGTAGATTTGTGTTTGTCTAATCACTGTTAAGTTTATGTCCGCTTGCTTCGAGCCAAAAACAAGTGATTTTGAACATGAGCGATGTTTTGATGTTCACTAAATCATCTTCTAGCGATGCTCTTCGCCCGAGGTTCCGTAGGACCAGGCTTTCGCCCTCAACCCAAGACTTTTTATGCAGATCATCCCTTCTTAATCATCTTAACTTATCAGAAACGAACGGTTTTGTTCCATGGTCGAGTGACTAAAATACCGGCATAATCAATGTATGTGAATTATATGTATAAACACTACTAGTGAATGTCGTTTTATTTCCAACGAGAAGTTTGTGTCCACTTGTACACGAAACACTATATGAAGCGCTTGAATCGTTAGCTTAAATGTGCGCATGTAAAATGAATAATTACCAAGCGAGCTGAACCCGCATATTTTTCAGGAATGCTCATTGAAGTGATGAGCATCCAACTTCCGCAAGCGCCAGGCGAATTCATTGCTGATCATCCGTTTTTAGTGCTGCTGAAGTCTCGAGGCTCCATTGTGGATGAAGAGCGTGAAGCCCGCATCTATTTCGATGGAACTCCATTGTTTTATGGCCGAATTCTCAACCCCAAAGCCTAAGTCGACATGTATATTTTCTGCCTCGGTGTGTTTTGCGAACTTTCAAATTTTCCCGGCACAAATTTCAACTTTAATTGCTCAGCAAATCAGATCGTAGTATTCGTTTCCATGGCAATGGCAAAATTCTGATTGGTGCTTGTTTGACAGGAACGCAAGTTATGAATTTTTCAATGATCAATACGGTTGAAAGATGGTGCTGTAATTCTAATGCATGATCTAGGCAATTTGCTAACGCAGTTATTGTTTATGAAGTTGAATAATGTTTATTTATTGCAGCGATTATGTTCAAGGCGCGCTGCGGAGCTCCTCGCGTGTTCGATGAGCCGCGGGTTTTTACTGCTGACCACCCTTTTTTGTTTCTACTCACCCGTCAGAAGAGGCTTGTTCTTTTTTATGGTGCAGCATTTAACTTGAAATAATTCCAAACTAGACTAAATCTAGATACTTTAAGGATGCTTTCTACATTAAATTCACTTGTGTTACATTAGCAGACTCTCCAGGGGCGATTCTTCAAATATATATACGCATTATTAAATTAAAAGCGTTTGATTTAATTTATTTCTAACACCAGCTTATATCGTGATAGAGTTTAATGTTTTAATTAATTTAATTTTTAAGGTTTCAATCCTTTTTGCCGCATAGCTCAGCTGCGGAATTTTCTCTGCAACAAAATGGCCCCGTTTGGTTTGAATTTTGTCCAAATCACACGCCCTGCTGAGGAAACTTTCTGCGAAGAAAAATATATTCGGGTTATTCTTAATTTTTTTTTGCACCTCACCATCTTCTGAACGAAAAACATACTTCATTCTTTATCAAATTGGCGTAGTTTCAATTGCCAAATTTTGCAAACTCCTTGCGCCGAGTGTTTAAAAAAGCAGCCACAAATAAAAAACACTTAAAAAAATTGTCTCCGAAACTAGAAATACTTCAGAAATGTTGAGCACTCCACTGTGTAGAGAAGAAAGTTGCCCAAGCAAGTGTGATTATTGGAGTTTTTTTGGCTACAAATCTCAGGAAATTGAACGAAATTTGGACAAGCAAAGTGAGGGCTAAACGGTCAACGCCACTCAAACTGGTTTGCAGTTTCGGAAAAAAAGCTTTCTTCAGGTTTTGAATGACATTGTCGAGAAATTGTGAGCTCAACGCTCGGTTTTCTTCCTTTCCCGCCGAGAGCAGTAAATGTTTCCTGATTCTAAATATTATCTGTCTCCTTAATCTTCGAAACAACTTTAGACTCAATTTATTCGCTTAATTGTCCAATATTGTCCCAAACATGCCCCGTTTCCTCACATATGTTTTTTTCCAGGAATAGTCTTCGGATTGGCCGCAATTCCACTTCCGAATCCAACTTTCAACTTTCAAGCTGATCATCCCTTTATTGCTCTTCTCCAAGTCTCCATTGGTGCAGAGTCCGCCAACAATCCAACTCTTCCTCTGTTTATTGCCACTGTAGCCAAACCACTATGAGCTACTGGATAAGTTGAAATCGTTTTTTCCATTCTTCAATTATAAGCAATTTTTTTTTAATAAATAAACTGATTGCAACGTGTTTTAATTAATAATTAAATTATTTCTAGACATTGTCGTCGTTCCAGGTAGCGGACTGTATGGATGTGCTCTGGATTTTTCCACTTTTTGTGCAGACCGTCCCTTTATAATCAGCTTAATTTATCAGAAAGAAACGCTCCTGCTCCAGGGCCGAGTGGCTGAAATACCCATACAATAACTGCACTTGAATTATGTACTAAAAATGTATTGCAACAATAAATTGGCTTTGCATGTAATCGGGGTTTATTCCCTTTTTATCTCTAGTTTTTATTACTTCGTTTCAGCTATGCAGTTACACCATCAATTTTTTGCTATTTTTGGATTTACTGCTAGATTCAGATCTTCTAGGTTGCCTCTTTTTGTGGGACGCGTAAATCCCCTTTCAACGCAAAAATTGTGTTTAACTTAATGACCAGAAGCCGAAGATTCTTAACGGTTTGCATGCCAAATGATGGGCCCGAACAACATTCCAACTGAATTCACTCAATGGCAGAAAGACTTTTCCACGTCAAACAGTTCGAAATAACACAAAATACATTGGTGGCATCTTTTTATGTAATCACTTTTATAAACACAAATTAAGATAAAGAAAAAATAAACACATTCTGCATGTTTCAGGATTTACATAAAAAAAGTTCGTATTTTACCAACCAACCCTCAAAATAATGTGTTTATATATGCAGCAATGGAATTGGCCCTGTATTAATAAAACTGTGGCATGCAAAATATGAATAATTCAACCATGTTGTATTAGTTCAATTAATCATGTGTTGCATTGGTGGAAAAGGTATGTTTTTATAAATACAGGGGTTTTTTTTGTTATTTTTAGTCCGTATGTACAATACCAGTCAAAAAATTACAACTGTGACTAGTTACAATAGATCGTCGGCGTTCTTTTTTCTTTACAATTTGATTACCTATTGTTCTGTGCAATTTACTATACAGATAATTATATATTAATATACAACTTAACAATAAAATAACAAAATATTAACACAAAATAAAATGTACAGTCTAAACATTTTAACCCTGAGGGGCTCAGCAGACAGCTCCGCAGTAGAAACATTTTCAAAGGGTCGTGCTTTTTTAATAGAGCCCACTGTTATTAGTAAAGCACGACCACTCAAAAATGTATCTAATCAGAATAAAATATACATATATATGAATACAAAATATAATTATTAATAAATACGTAATTGTGTACGTAAAATGTACTGTAAAAGTGTACGTGGCTGAAACCACTGAGCCTAATCTCCAAGAGTTGAAAAAATTAAAAACACATGTAACTTATAGTTTCTTCAAATTACATGCATATTTAATTAATTTATACGGATTAAAAAGTTCATATATACACAAATCCACAACCACTCCCCCCACTCGAACATCCACTTCGGTTTTAATTTAAAAAAGAGTAGATACACGAGTACGACTATTTTTCTGCAATTTAGTCGTCCCCACCCAAGTGCTAAAGTTCACCCACTGACTTGGAAAAGTTCACTGGTTCACTATAATTTTTTAAGTCTTTGGGATTCCTCACAATCACTTGATAGAACTGTTAAGCGTCTTCGGAATGTGAGGAGGAATCATCGTCCTCTTCGTTTTCCTTCAGTCTTGTAAAGAACGACGTTAGTTGCTTCAATGCAACGCCTAGAAGAGATCAAACGTTCCATGAACATCACGATAACTATAACTTTGATATATTAGATTTCCCACCGTTGAATGAACCCCAAATTAAATTTTTAAAAAGCTAACCTTTTCCTTCCTGTTCAGCGGGATCTGTGCTCTTCTCCCAAGCGATAAAACTCTCCTGACAGAAAGTCGAATCCTCGTACAATTTATCACATATAGACAACAAAAGACCTGAAACAATTAACACAAAGTGTCAAGCCAGTGATACCAATTGCCGACCGTCTTGTTATACCTGATGGATGCTCCAACTTGTGGACTAACGATTGTAAAACGTATAAACACTGCAGCTCGTAAGTGGTATCGTTATCGACGTATTTCTGCAACAGTTTTCCGTGACCGGTCAGCACCTCGGGTTGCAGCTTATTTTTTGGTATCGAGTCTTCAAAAATAGCACCTGCTAAGGCTCGGGTGAATTCAAAGTCTTTTACGTGATCGCCAACATTTGCCTGAAGACAATCAACATTTTAATTGCGAATGAAAGATAGTTAGCAGCCTACAGTGCACAAGATTTAAAGGATATTAATACTAACCGATATCCAGTTAACAATCTCATCAAATGACGCCTTTCTCTGGAAGAATTCCGCTAATTTGTTCTTGATGGCGTCGCTTGATATAATACTTTCCCCCACTGGCGCACCACCGCCAATAAGGAACTCCAGATTCTGAAACATAATTGAAATATCGTTAGAAATCAATCCGTAACGCAAACATGATTGACGTATAAAACATAATATGTGGAAACACCGGTTCAATAAAACTTAAATGTGTTAAGACTGAGGTCGGTACTTCTCTTAATATTTATCCGTATGCGATCCATCGAACTAAACACTTACGTTCTGTTGAACAAAAGGCCCCACATCAGACTCCTGCATAAAGTCGGACAACTTGAGTCCCGATTGTAGGAAAATCTTGTGAAGGAAGTTTGGCCCCTTCTCCTTCACCACTAACGCAAACAAAGGTTTCAACAGCTTTATTGACACATTCCTTTCAATTAAAATCTCAAGAAGCTTCTTAAGAGACTGGATTGTCAATACTTCGCGCAGAACCAAGCAAACTGCAACAAAAATTAGCGTTATTGTTAGAACTTACGAAATGGGCGTCTGCCAATCTGCGTTTCAAGTGCAAATGAATTCAAAAAACTGGTAGTATTCGCCAGGTAACCTCTTAAAAACATACGGAAGCCTCTTACCTAGATCCTCAGCCAAATATTGCCAAATTTGTGGTACATCAATGATCAAATCTTCCCATAATCCTAGCAGTTCTCCAAACCCTTTAAAAAAGTCCTCGAGAGTCATTTTCCCAGCACTGATCAGAGTTGCCATAAGTTCGCCAGTTTTCATTCTGCAGGCCAGAGATATCTCCAAAGTGTAGTTATAACTGTAACAAAGTTCGAGGGTAAGACTTGAACGTTTAACTATGACCGAAAAATGCGCCTCTATCCGTGTAGGTCAGAAATTCCGCCCGGAAATTTGTCATTAAAAAAAATATATTTTTTTCCCAATTACTTGGTCACCAAACAAATACGGCAGCATTGGAGTTGGTCACTTTTAAACCCACGATATGTAGGTTTTGTAGGGAGGCTACTATCAAACGCCATTCATTGGTACGCAACCTCATGGTGTTAGCGAATCCACCCTTTCCATTCTATTGCATATAAGTAACACAACTTGGTCAAGTAGGAGCCAAATTGTTGACAATATTTATATGCATTTGGGATTGAGATTAAGGTCGAGGAATATGCTGTTGTCTTACCATTGGTAAATCACATTGGGATAATCCTTTGGAAGACAATGCCGTTTTACATCTTCATAGAATTCGAGTGATGTGCAAGAGACGGAGAGAGCTTCATCTATGGCAACCTTTAGATGTTCCCGGAAGAATTCCTCGTCTACTTCAAGGGTAATTACTGGAGCTGGTGCCAGTGGCGCTGCTGGAGCGGGTTGCGGGGCCGCAGAGGCCGCAACAGGAGGCGCTGGATTTGGAGGTCCCATACCCCATACGGGAATGTTAGAGTCGCGCTGTTGCGAGCCTCTGCCCTCGTACACCCCTTTGTAGGTGTTTCTCTCCATACTGGACCCTTTGGAGCCTGGGTATGGGTCTTTGTTTCTCGATTCTGTAAAGTCATTCAGTTTCAATACATTTATTTAAGCACAAACTGAGTAACGGAACTAACTGAAAATACTTACGTAAAGACTGTTTGTCCATCCAATCGGTGTTGTGTTGCAACACGTCGTATCTATTACCTCCAAAGTTGGAATTGAATTGAGACCCCGTTGACGAACCGGCACCCTTAACAAAGGCGCCAAACATATGGCTAGATCCCAGCCGTTCATCAGTAGACTGTAAGCAAAATTAATCGCCGATAAGCACGTGATTGAAAACAATCATCTTAAATATTACATTAAATTACATTACACTGTCGGAAGGTTACTATCAAACTCCATTCATCGGCATTTGCCTTATGGTGTTAGCGAATCCAACCAAATTTATCTGGCATGTAATTAACACAGTTCAGTCATAAGTAAAACTGTACTGTTGACTTATTCATGCATATTGGCTGTACTGTACATGTATTTTCTTTCAACACTCACCAGCTTGGGCGCTCTCATTTTGGACGGCTGAATCGTAAACGATCGATTACCCTTCGTCACCGAACTCCAGCCTTCATCAGACATTTTCGATCTGTTGCCGCCTCTATCGCTTCTCATGCTTCCACCACGATCGTCTCTGCGTGGCGGATTCGAGTTATTAATCACCTGGATGTTCATTTGCTCCTTTTCAGCTTCTCTTTGAATCTGGTCGATAGTTTTTGGATTGGTGTCTCCTCTCCTTGGAACCTGCAATTTTTAAAACATAATTAAACACTTTCTTAGCGCTGTAAAATAACATCGACACATACCCATTTCGAATCTCTCAACTCAATCACATCTTGCAGCATAAAACGTATTCTGCTGCTGATCTGTTGCCGTTTGCCATCAGCGATTTTTTTCATCTCGTTAATTATGTCGATGAGCGAGCATGAGGATGCTTCCAGCTCCTTGCCGATTGTGGACAGCAGCTTGCAAAGGCACTCTAAGCTTTCTTCACTTTTATGTGACAGAAGACTTTCCAAGCAACGTCTCATAATGTTAACCGTTAACATACTTTGCTTAAATAGCTCCCCTGAAAGAAACAAAAGTGCGATTAATACCAATTTACACTAAAGTCGTTAAAATACGCACCAATAAAACGCATGGTTCCGACTGATTTCATACGAAGTCGCCTGTCATACTCCTCAAGTTCGAATTCGAGTTCCTTCTTTTTCTCCTACGAAAGTTAACGTCAATTAATTACAAGTGAACTATGGCCTAGTGCCAATTTTTTCAATGCTGCTGGTTTCAAATACTTACTAAGTCGGTGGTCTGATCGATTTCCTCCACCTTTGCATTTCTGATTTTCTCATCGATGGTATGTTTTTCAAACTCAAGTTGACACCGATTGATCAGCACACCCCGAAAGACAACGGCCTTCTGATCGGAAACCACCTGAATTAGAAATAATTTTAGAATAATTGCCTCAGCGGGTCGTAACAAAAATATCATACATGCATGTTCTGGATCTCGCTGCACAGCATTGCGTACGAGCGCGCAAAATTGGGTTCATCAACAGCTTTCTCAAATGTTAAATTAATTACGCCCTTCATTCGGTCTTTAGTATCAATGTCCAGCTCAGTCACTTGTCTCACTAGAGTAGCAAACCTCTGTGGTGTGAGTTTGTTCAATATAGAACGGAACTTCTTCATTAAAGCCGTCGTTTTAATGTCCTCCTCACTCGTGGCATCGCCAACTATAGAAAAACATTTTTTTTAGATGCTGCTGAAAATTAGATAGATAAATACTTGCCCTTATTGAGCCTAGTGGGTTTCCAGGCGTTTTCAGATTGGTTCAGTTTTACATCGCCACGAAGCGATATTGATACTTTCGGTCCAGGTTTGCCCCCCATCCCGATTTTATCTCCGCCTCTGCTTCCCATTTTTCCAGACTGACTACCGCGCTTGTTCACAGTCTGAAATAGAAAAAAACCATTAAGCAACTAGAACAGGCCGTGTGACACACCCGGCGAATTAAGACTTAGTTCGGCTAATCAGATTTATTTGAACATCAGTTAGGTTCAGTTCACTACTTTCATCGTTTTATTAAAGGAAATCATCATATCAGGCAAATAATGGTCAGTAGATTTTCAGATGAATCTTAGATGGAACTCACCCCTCTTTGAGAGCCGGACTTTCCCACATAATTGTTGAATGACGGCATGTGATCCGAACGACTCGGCATCGAAAGACGACTATCGATCTGACGCTGTAATAGCAATTGCTTATTAATAAATACGTAACAGAATAATGCTGAGAATATTACATTCCGTTCGTCGGAGAGAATATAATCGGGGAGGTCGTCGGGCTTTACATTGCTGGCAGGAAGACTTTTTATGGACCACAAAAATTCCCGATCGTACACCTTGAGGCCATCAAGATGATTTGGAGCCCATTGCCCTAGAATTGAACAAAACACCGTTACCGATAACTAGTTTTATCTAATTTATAATCAAAATTATCATTCCAAATCACAGAGCTAAACAACAGAACAATAACGCGGATAGTTACCTGGCTTATAGACAATTTTTGGAATCAATGAAGAAGAATCAGTCTTCAGCGAGCCGTAATTGTCAATCATCGGATTGATAGTAGCGCCTCGCCCACCGTCAGCCGTCCTGATTGCTGACAAACGAGCTTCGTCCTTTTTGTCGCCAATCGGGAAAATCATTGGCGGCTTAGGTACATCCTTGATAATGCTAGTAACATCGAAGACTTTGTTAGCAGACGGTTTTGACGTAGCTAATAACCCACTAGGCTTATTTAATTGTTGCGTTCCGACGGAACTAAATAAACCGGCTGGGACAGGGGCAGCTACTGGAGCAGGTGCTGGTGCGGGTGCAGTGGCAGGGGCGCTCAAAGGAGCATTTTGGGAGACTTGTGACTCCACCTTGATTGTGACATTTTCATTTGCATCTTTCTCATTTTGGAGACATGGGCGAAATTCTTTCTCATCCGTTTCGACTGATGGTTTGGGCACAACTTTTGGTGGCCCAGTCTGTTGAATTGGATTGGCATTTACCAAATCGATAATCTGATCGGTTTTCACGGCCGTCGGTGGCACTTTTTCTGCTTCCTTCTCAGATTTGAACTTCTGAAGTTTATCGTTGGATAAGTTAACATTACTGCCATTGTCGGTTTTCGCATCAGAATTAACTTCTGCTAGGTGCAGTTGGTCATTGTTCTCGTTAAATGCATCCATATCGGTGCCTTCTTTGTTGGCTCCCTTCAAGTTAATATCTTTCGTCTTACTCGACTTATTATTGGACTTAGGCGGCTGTGGCACAGGTACTTGCACTGGTGCAGCTGGTGGCGCCGGTGCAGCATGAGCCTTTCCATTTTGAATTTGCTTATTACGGAAATGCTTCGATTTTCCTACGAGAGAAGAAAACCAGCCATTAGAAAATCCTACAACTGTTTAGGGAACAGTTAAAATTAGTCAAATGCCGCAACGAATAAAATACGCTATCTTTTGCTGCTGCAAGCGACCAGTTGGCACTGAATCAAGTATCCCAAATTGACAAAAGAGAGTATAATTATAACGGGAATATGTTTAGGAAGTCACTTGGGCAGGCAAACTCATTCAGCTCTAGGTGCTACATCAAATGGGATTTTATTTGATCCAGTAAAATTTACCAAACAACCGACTTATTTACTGAACCCAACTGGCAAATAAGTGATAAAATATTTATTGCTTTAAATCAGTGAAACCGCAGTTGTTTTTCGAATTTCACCACAATCGCTGATGACTGCTGACCTCCGTCTGGCATATTATATAAAGTGCAGTTAAACATGTTCGAATAGAGCCGCTGATTGGCCCAGGCGAACTGAGTCCAGATAATGGATACGACAGAGATAGAACGAGAATGGATGACTTGACAAATACTTGCTGCCAGATTATTGGCTAGATTTAATGTCGCTGTGACAGTGAGAAATAATGGCATCGACAAACTAGAGGGAGGGAATTTAATGCAAATGGGAATAATCTGCAAAAAACTGTGACAATTGGAGAACCAACTGTCACCATATGGTACCTTGGCAAGAACTTGCGGTTCTCAACGAGATAAAGAGGAATCGAAAAATCAGTCTGGGCAGACTGCCGTACTGAATGTAAGTGAAAATAGTCGGTAATACATAATGCATTACCAGCTGGAACTGGCATTATAATCAGGACATATTGTAATGTGCACGCCGTTCAAATGAACAAGACTGGGCTAGTCTAGTGGATGTGAAAGAACTGAATGTGGTTAAAGTTGGCGATATGAAAAAGGTGTGAATGAAATGAGAATGAATGTATGCGACAAGGTCACAAGGCAACTTTCTAAAAAGAAAAAACCGCCGATCATCAAGGAGATCAGACGGAGCAGACTGAAATTCGAGACATATGGATGGTATTTTAGTAGGAGTAAATTCAATACCCTTCGTGCTGACCACCGTCCACGTATCGTCATCCATGGTATCGTATCTGGTACTAGAGTAGGCTATTCTTAGAGCAGTGACGATGCATCAAAGCGCAGACCCCTTAAACGGTTATCTGGGCCAGAAACACGTGCATTACCGAAAGTGCTTCACCAAATTGGTGGAATTAACCCGAAAACAACGAAAAAATTCACATTTTAATCACAGTCACAGCCGCAACATGACAAAAATTGTCAGATGTTCCCAAATATAGGCACATTCCCGACCGTTTCACTTCGGAAAACCGGCCAAAGTTGAAACGTTAACATAAAGTGGGCGCAATAAATCCGCAATGATCGCATGAAGTACTAAAATGCACCGAGAAGAAACTAAATCGCACAGGAAAATGATATCAAAATTAGAACACCGTTCACAAACCACGTTGCGTACGACCCATGTGGTCGACGCTTATTAAAAGATCCTATGCGCCATCTTACGCTCTATCGGCCTTCTTCGACACCGAACGGACACGAACGAACCACCAAGACAACCGACTTAATAATGCGAGAGACAGAGATACAAAACCGACACAAAGCTGGTGCCTACATTGCCGATTTTCGTGCGAACTATCAACGGTTTCAAGATGACCGCCAGTGTTGCCGCCGTGAAATGATCTGTTTAAGCAATAAAAAGTACTTAAAAAAAAACAAAATTCTCGGAAAAAAAACCAGTACTAATTTACAGAACATTTTTAGCAATTTTAGAAATTTTCAAAAAATATGTACAACTTGGTCAACGTTCGCAAAAGATTTTTATATGTAGGAGGCTTTGCGTATTGCTTAATTAAGGCTTATTTTAAATATATTTTGGATGCTAAAGTTGAAGAAAAAGCTCCAGCTTCTTATGGGAGTTTTAACGACAATTTGAGAAAAATCACAATAATTTTAAAGCAATTATAAAATACATATGAAGCAAAATAGACAATCCTCAACCATTGAGTTGTTCATACTTAAAAAAATCAAATTTAAAAACCCAAACCAGGACAAAAACGATCAACAACCAAAGTCATGTGGATATAAAACTGTAGAATAATCCAAATACTTAATGACGCAAACGGAATTCTAATCATCCACGAGATTATCGATCAAAACCCTCAATACAACAGCAAGATAGTGTGTTCTAAAACATATGGTACTTTCAACGAGAATTTAACGCAACTATCAAGAAGAAAATCGGTCCAGCGAGCAAAAAATTAACGTTACCAAACCCCAACAATCGAAAAATACACAAAATTTACTCCACTATTGAACTTCTACCCATTTAATCCACATTTCTAGGTGGCAACAGTGAGGCATATGGGTTCATGGTGGCAAAATAAAATTACTTTAGAAAATCCCCTGCTGGCAACCATCACCTATTTCTAACCGCCGCAGCTGCACAATATGGGCGCGCAAATGTTCGTCTAACACCCCACCAAGATTAATATTCCCAAAGTAAAGCTAAGGCCTTAGATACTGAACAATGTGTGCTAATGGAAATCCCTGTGCTTAATTCTGTAATTCTACATAAAAACTTGGTGATTGTGAAGAGTTTACCTTTCTAATATTTGATAATTTTTAAGGCAAAAATCGCACGTCACGTATAAAAAATAACTTTAAATAATCCGTTCAACTTCAAACATAAAAGTTCTGTTAACATTTTTTCCGCAGGACTGTCGTTCTTGGTAAAAAGCCGTTGCATTAGTTACAAAACTCGAACTTATCAACGAAGAAAACATCTGAATACAGAGCTTGAAATCAACTGAAATCGATCATTCCATCACCGTTACAATGAATCGCAACTATTTACAAAAAAGGTGTCACTAAAAATCTATAGGTTTCTGTTTATTTGGGGTGTGGATTTCTTTTAATTCCAGTAACTGATTCCTTTTTAAATTTTCGAACTTGGAACGGTCTGCGCCCTGTTCTTCAAAGCTTCGTATTTGAGTAAGAATTTAAGGGACTGGACTATAAAATCAGTAATCTACAAAGCGATCTTCATATTCCGTGGAGTGTCAGCCTTTTCAATTTCGAGTGAACCTGTTCCTTCTGTAAATCATTTTGAAAATGTGAAAATGTTTTGCGCGATTTTCGCATCTCGATGGATAAGAAGTCTTGAATGGTTCAACCAGGGGCGGATCCAGCTTTAAA